TGAGCCACCGCGCCCGGCCTACTTTTAAATTATACAATATTTCCTGTATACATTCTTATATGACTTTCACAAACTTTGACATGCCTCAATTCTCCGACTTCCTTTTACAGTATTTCTCTCCCTGTTCTCACCCTCTGTGTCTTTCTCTGATCTCTGTCTCTTCCAGTCTCTCACTGATTCTCCCCATCTATTTCTCTCTCATTTGCACTTTCTCTCTTTCTCTCTCTGTCAACCCCTCTTTCTTCTCTCTCCACTTAGTCTCTTGGGCTGGGTGGGATCCGCGTGGCTGCAGTCCAGGTCCTGGACAGCCGCCAGCCAAGAGACTTAGCAGATACCCGAGGCAAGTTGCATGAGTCATAGAACTTCTCCTCCTCTGCTCTCTTCCCAGCGCCAGTGCCCGCCCTCTTCTTCCATGCAGAGCCAGGCTGGGCAGAGGGATCCACACCCTTCCTGGTGTAACTGGCTGCCTGGCTCGGTGGCAGAGGCTCCTGGCCCTGACGCACTCACACTCTTCTGTTCAGCTCCAACTTACAGGTGTCCATGGCCTGCCGTCCTCCGAGGGTGGCAAGACATTCCCGAGTGGCATGGAAGGTTTGGAGATTGGTGGCCGGTGGCCTGAGTGGCTCTGGCTGCACGGCCAGGTGCGAGGAGAGCGTTCCAGCCACCACTCTGCTGGGTGCCAGCGATCAGCAACAATGTGGAGCTGTGCTTGCTGCTCAATCTCTCTCTCTTTCTCTCTGACTTCTCTCAGTTTCTCTCTCCTCTCTGCTGGTCTTTCCCTGCCTCTACCAGCCACATACACTGCTGTGAGCAGCCAGCGGGAGTGGAGCTTAGCCTCTTTATTCCCCTGAGAAGAGAGGAAAGGGAAGTTCTGACTATTTTTCCTACTGCCAGAGGAGTGTGTGAGGTTCAGTCTCCCCCTAATGGGAATTTTTCACCTTTTTGTAACCTGCAAGACATCCCGACTAAGGAATACTTCATCACTCCCCAGTGGCTTTTCTTCCCTTACTCCTAAGTAAGGAATGCCTTACTGCCCCTGTGGCTCCTCTTTCCTTGGTATGTCCTAACCAAGGAATGCTTCACCGCCCCACTGCTTCTCTTTTCTTAGTCCTGACCACCAAGGAAATACTTTACCGGCTCCTCTGGCATTTCCTTCCTTGGCTCATGCATGAGGTTGTGCGTCCACGTGGTATATGAGGGTCCTTTACTCCAGGTCACTGGGTGGTTTCTTCCTGCATTGCTGAGAGTCGGGTTTATTTGTCACACTGAGTAGATCTTGATTCCTTACCCCTGAGGCTGCCTCTATGAGGCAGTGGGGTGCCTCCTCATGAGAGGACTGGAGACCCCCCTGGAGGAGAATGGCTCCTCATATGGGCCACCATTTTGTTATAAGTAAAATGTTTATTCAGAAATAGAATGCTTGTTTCTTGGTACCACAAGGAAAAATCAGGATTCAGACAAAAAGTTTTCTCAGCAAGGCAAATTTACATTCTGCAAAGGGTGCTCCTTGCAGATGATAATGGTAAGAGCACACCTGAATAAAGGAGGGAAGCAATTTTTATCCCTTACGCAGCTTCTCCCTGCTACTGTGT